GCAATCTAGCTATAGTTGAGATTTCGGAAGATCCTTCTTAACACTGGAGTCCCAGCAATCCAGCTCAATACAGATTCGTTCCGCACGGGCGAAAATGTTAGTAAATTCAACAAGGCTCATATAGACGTATGACATAAAGTGAGCACAAGAAATCAAAGAACAACGTAATCATGATAAAACAAGTTAAATGTGAAACAAAGAGATCGTTATTGCAATATCTGGGCAGTCACGACAATACATATTTTAACATGTAATAAATAATGAGCAATCTTTAATAATAATATAACAATTTTATCTTAGAAAAATATACGCCCCTGAGCGTAAGACAATGAAGGCTAAACATACACAGATTTATTATCATGAAACATCTATGTTTTTCGAACAACGTAATCGTGACAAAAACAAGTTAGATGTGAAACAAATATGTTGTTATTGTAACGTCTGGCAGTCATGACAATATATATATTTTAACGTGAAATAAATAATGAGCCATCGTTAATAATAATTATAACAATTTTACCTTGGAAAAATATATGCCCTTGAGCATAAAGCAATGGAAGCTAAACATACAAAGAATTATTATCATGAAACATCTATAACCATCACAATCATAAGATTACATAGAACAATTAACAACAAAGTACTTAAAGAATATTACCTGCCAACTAATACCGGTTAAACATTTAATTTTTCCACTACTTCTATATTTTTCACGCTACACTGATCGTCTTACTTTTCACTAGCTGTCCTCACTTCATCTGCCTATCTTCAACTATTTAGGCTTCCTTAAAGTATTGCCCCACCTAGGCGTTTGCTTTTTTGCGCTTCCTTCTACCGACCGTTAATATTACTTTTTCATTATTATACAACACTCATGTAACAGGTGACGTCGAAGTTGATAAGTACGGTTTTGCACAAGATGAAACTTACATTCACGCTAGCCGTACTAGTTCCAACAATTGGACAGACAATACCAGTAACGGTTTCCTATCGCCATATCCAAAGGCAATCGACTGGTTATTGTTCAAGCCGGTGGTGAAATGGGTATTATCTCTAACTGCCTTTTGATTTTTAAATTTGGGATCAATTCCGGAGCCTACCACGACGATATGAACGCGCAAAATTATAAGAAGTGGCTTACGGAGAAGTTGATTCCAAGTCTCCTCACAAATTACGTTGTAACTCATAACACACCGCAATCATAATGTACAAGTGCAGAAAGCACCTACCTGCAACTCAAGAAAAACAGATATGCTAGATTGGTAAAAAAGTAAAAATATATCTTTTTCGCCGAATTTGCTTAAGCCAAAGCTGTATCAAATTATTAAAAATAATAAAGAACAACATATTGTTTACAAATTCGATAGTCTACTCCAAGAAAAGGGGCATATGGCTTTGAGGCTCCCACCCTACCATCCTGATTTAAATCCGATTGAAATGATATGGGCTCTTGAGTATTTTAACTTGTTAAAAACAACGCAGCACAGAAAAATGTTTTATTTAAATTAAACACTGTGAAATCTCTGACAGAACAAGATTTCCATCAGTTATTGTCGAAGACTGGATGAAGTGTTGCCAATATGTTGTTATAATTAAAGATAGTTACTTATAAATCGAGATTAGAGTTGATATGGTAGGAGAATACTTGATTATAACAGCTTGTGATAGTGAAACTTCTAGTAATGAAAATGATTTCGAAAATTTATCAGATTAGGACCTGTAAGTAGGTTACTTAAATACATGTTTATTTGATTAAATCCTTTTTTTATACCAGCGTGTTAATAATTCTAGTTTATTTATGATTTTTATTCAAATGTACTCTAATAGAAGTAAAAACACATTTTAATCCAAAAAATCTACTTTATATATACCTATTTACCTTACATATATATTTTAATATTCAGAAAATATAAATTGGTAAATTGGTATCTCAACAAATATTGTACGGACTGTACAAGTGCAGAGTAAAATCCAGACAGATAGTGAATGCATATACTACTACTACTATTAATGTACTTCTAATATACTATGTATACACTGAAAAAAATAAATATATCTTTTGTTGCAATATAACAAATTTGACATACACAGAATTTATAGTGACCACTCCCCCTTATCTATGGGATATATGGTGGCTAATATAAGGCAATCGTGATGTTTACTAGCAAAGGCATGAACACTGTTGTGATTCGTGTAAGTAGTTACAAACCACGATACGTTATTTATACAGTACATATTCAAATTTTTGCAAAGTTGCATTATAATATTGCATTACGGTACATGCATATATGAAACATACTACAAATAGTTTATTGTTACTTATTTACATTACACTATTTTACTTTATTATTTTCTTACATTTACAATACCTTGCATCTTCCAGAATATACGTGATGTTATTATAAAAGTAATTCAAGGTAGTATTAACTAAAGCAATCTATATATTATTGTAATTATGTATTTAATTCAGGTTATTGAAATGTTTTTGTAGATTTTCACATATTTAAAAACTGATCCACTAATACTAAAATATATTGGGTTAGGTCAGGTTAGATTAAGTTAACTCCCTGTTATGTATGGAGCAGAAAATGACAGCCCTAAATCAGGGATGGTGACAGCTTGCAAAAGCATAAAACTCTTTTGATTCGTGTAGGCTCGCTGCATATTTTTGTACAGTTACTGTTTTATATCTTATTATTGCATAATTACCTGGCGTTTAAAATACCTAATCTTATACCATATTGTACTTAGGATATGATTTCTATGCTCACATTAATGACGAAAAATTTCGAAAGAAATTTGGGAAATGAAAATTCTCTGAGACAATCTGACAAATTTTTTAATATTTAATATTAACACATCTAAGGTGCTGTGACAAGATTTTAATCAATCCGCATGCATTCAATCAAATATATCGCTGACAAATCGCCATTACATCTTCCTAAATCTTAATGCATCATTGGTATATTATCCAAAAAATATTACTTCCTAGCAATTCTGAAGAAATCCTGGAACATTCACAAGAAATCCTAGTACATCCATGTAGGTGAACGCAATGAATTCTCATGTGTTCCCCCTTGGAAAAAATGGATATAATTTGGTTGAAAAACCAGAAACTGAGAAGCCGCCGCTTCTATTCGTTTTATTAGTTGTGTTGCGTGTATCATTTTCATTTCATTTGTACTGGCATATTCATGGAGCATTTGATAAGCCCCGATGCGGGCGCAAATACCGAGCGATATGCGCCTTGCGCTCTACCCCATAAAAGTCGCTATATTTTTTCTCATTTTATGCTGATGTTTCCAACGCGATTCGGATCACGCAAAATGATTGAAGTGTTCTCATCTGCGGAACGGCTAAACTGTTACCAGTCCGATACTCCATGCGCGAGTGATATACGTAAATTGTTTCTGGATATTTTATTGCTCGGAAATTCAACCTTTCGTGAAATATTTGTTTAGGACATGACGCGAATTGATGGATGTCGGGGCTGTCCATTATATCATGAAGAATTATTGGACAACCTGTTGTGCTGCATCATGTTTACACCGCTAGGCACTTGCATTCGACGCAAAAAGAAGGCAAGAAGTGTTTGATCGCAATTTGTTATCGATGGCTAAGTTGCTATTTATTGACGTTTTGAATTTTAAAATTTTCTTCAGTAATGTATCAGGGAAATATATTGGTGCATAATTGACTGTTGTGTAATGCATTTTCTGCATTATTAATTTTAAATGCATAAATGCGACGTTTCCACACACACATACATTCATTTTATTGGTATAGTGGTTAATAAATATTGTTTTGCTGAAATATCATTGACAGTGAACAAGAGTCTTTTTATATTGTCTGTATAATAATATAGCGTGATTGTTTTAAAACTAAACTGAAACTAAAGAAGTTTTGAAACAAAGGTTCGTTGGAGAAGACAGGGATGAGAAATTAGTAGTTTTGACCAAAGGTCCCCTTTAGAGATCAGTTTTATGAAAAAAATGAAGCTGTTGAGGATTCACCCTTGTTTCAGTCAGAGCACTTAGATAAGGAATTAAAACACCTGTGGTCGATTAAAGAAGTTAAATGAAACAAAATATTCATCCAGAATATATCAAGGAAGATACGGACAGCCCCTTCCAAAATGAGTCAATAGAAATCCAGAAGAATCGATATAATTTCAATCAAGACGGGGGTTAAAATTACTTGGAATTTGGAAACGCCTCTTTACCAAAAATCAAAGATCGGAACGACAGGCCAATGACTATCGTCGAATGCAAATATGGATATCAGAGCAGCTTAAACCTCGAGATTCAAAGTTTCTTCTGAAGTGAGAGATATGTCTCTGGAAACGTCAAACAATCTAAACCGACCTCGCACAGTGGGATAAATCGAGATGTTAAGCAACAAAGAACTGTACTAGTGGATTTTGAGCTTTTAGAGGATATAATGTAGCCCGAAATCATTTCAGTTGCACTATTGGTAGTCACAGCATATTTGCTATATCAAATTTTTAAACATCTATAGGATTTCGATTAAAAATTGATGTCGATACAGAATAAAAATGAGTGGAGATAATTTGCAAGTAAATGACATAACATTGCATTTTGCAGCATTAAGTGGTAATTTTCTATGCAGCATTTGGATAATTCCTCTAAATTATCCCGAATACGCCTATAGTCTTCTAACATTTTGATAATGGTAAACATTTTCAAATCACCAGCATAAAGCAAAAAGAACCCAGAACGGTACCCTGAGGTACACTTACATTTAAAACCATTGTTAACAACGTTTCTACTGGTTAAATATGATATAAGTTATAGCAAAAGAAATTAGAAAAGTCTTCTTCAGATAATTGGTTTAACAATATCTTATGCTAGAGTTTATTGAAGTCCCGTATTATATATTATATCTAAGGATTCCGAAAGAAACTGAATTATTATTGTTAATAAGGAAGAAAACAGTAAAATAGATTTCAATAGGCTTATTGGCTTCTACGAGACACTTACCATGGGAAACTCTCTCTCGCCGCCGTGGTGCTGGAAATGGAGAAAAAACGTCTTGCCCCCGCTCATGGTGTGCAAATACCCTATCCGGATCAAAGGCGCCGCGGTGTGTCCGTCACTGAGGACGTCGAGCGTCGCGTCTCTGACACTCAAGGGGTTCTGAGTGGGCCTCTCCCAGTCCGTGTACTCGTTCTTGAGCGTCGAGAATATCTCGTTTAGGTGGTAATAATAAGAGTTCCTCACGTATGTCCTTAGGATTCTGTCACGTTTGGTTTCGTTGAACCCGAACTCGAGGTCTTGCGCGTTTAGGTCGAGATACGACTCCGTGCTTGTTAGTCCGAAGAGGAGATCGCGTTCCGGGAAGTCGGCCAGCTCGAATCCGGCGGAAGTGGCTACCGTAGACGAGCTGCTGGTCGGCGGGGCGTTGGTGGGGTTCAGCAGGATGGTGCCGTCGATGAAGGGGGCGAATCCTGAAAGAAAATGTAGACGAAAATATAAAATCGATGTATACACTGTGTCCCAAAATGATGGAACAAAAGTCATATTTTTTCCAGTTCAAATTTAAAAAAATCGCTCAAACAGGTCAATTAATAAATAGAAAAATGTCAATTTTTTGCAATATTTTCTATTTATTTGAGCCATGTTTGACAGACCTATAATATTACTGAAATTTTTTTTAATAGGACGCTCTATATTTTATGGTGTAAATAGATAGCCCTTCTAAAGACAAATTCAGCGAAATAAAGTTATACATACTTTTTTGTCATAGTTGCCAAAAAAATTTAAAAAAATGTCCTTTATGTCGTACTGACGACTATTTCAATTATAGTCTCTTCTGTACTTTAAAAAACGTACCTACCCTTTATTAATCTTTTTCTAATTACTTTAAAGCTCTTTTTCCTCAAAAAAAAAAATCACATCAATAAACACATAAAATTCACCAGAGTACCTTAGGTATAACGTGAATCGTTTTAGTTCCAATTCATTCGTTGTTAAATTATTTTGAAAAATGGTTACCCATTTAAGCGAAAAACAGAGAATTTAAAGTTTAATTATGATTGGATGCGGAGATAAAATCCGTACTCAACAGGAGGTATGTGACTTATTTCACCATAAGTATCCAGACCAGAGCATTAGTCGAGTTACAATAAGTAAAGTATCCAAAAAGTTTGAAGAAACCGGAAGTATAAAAGATTTACCTGGATCAGGAAGGCGAAGAACTGTAAGCGAAAATCACAGTCAAAATGTAATGCTCGCCGTTACTGAAAATCGTCACTCATCCATTAGATCTATCTCAGCCAACTTCAACTTGTCGAAGTTCACAGAACTCTGAAGTCTCAAAAGTGGTATTCTTACAAAGTTAATGTCTTACAAGAATTATGGGCAAATGACACAAACAGAAGATTACAATTTTACGAGAAAAATTAGAAATTTATTTGAAAGACAGTCCAACTAAAAAGATCATATAATTTTCACAGGCGAAGCAATTTTTTGCTTAAACAGAACCGTGAACAGGCAAATTACGATGTTTTGGAGTCCAAAAAATCCGCATTGGATGCAAGAAAAACATCCACAACGGCCGGAAATAGTGGATTTTTGGCCTGGAAAGTAGGAAATCGCATACTGGGATCGTATTTCTTTGAAGGCAATTTGACAGGAGACATTTATTTGGATTGTTTGCGTTTTCAACTGATTCCAGTCCTGGAATTAATTTTTCCTAACCCTAATGAGCACGAATATGCCTGCTGATGATGTCTGGTTCCAACAAGATGATGCACTCTACATTTTCGCCTCGATGTAAAAAATTGCCTTAATAAAGTTTTCCCAAATCGATGGATATGCAGAAGAGAGTCTCTTGAATACCCACCACGCTTCATTGACTTAACCCCACTAGATTTTTTTTGTTATCTTTGGGTTATCTAAAAAGCAAAGTATATTTGAACAGACCAGAGATTATCGAAGGATTGAAAAATGTTATTAAAAATGAAATTGATAACTTTGAACACCGAATTGGGCATTGTGCAATGGTTAATGGGAGCCACTTTGCTGTAATAAAATTAAAAGTAATTAAATTAAATTGTTTTCAGTTAATTCCTCCAGTTTTTGACAACTATGACAAAAAAATAGGTATAATCTTATCTCGTTAAATTCGTCTTTAAAAGGACTGTCTATTTATACTATAAAATATAGAGCGTCTTATTCTTAAAAAATGTCAGTAATGTTATGGATCTGTCAACATGGCTAAAAAAAGAAAAAATATTACAGGAAAGTGACAATTTCTATTTACTGGAAAAAAGTATGAATTTTGTTCCATCATTTTGAGACACCGTGTATTTACATAGTTCGTTGTTTTGAAAATAAACTGATATTTCATATTCTTTAAAAATTTATTAATATCTACATATAATTTTATTAAGAATTTACATAGTTCTTCCTAAAATAATGTCAAGAACAAATTATGTAAACATTTGACATTAAATATTGTGATTATTTTTACAATTATGAAATTATTACCAACAAATTGTAGATTTTCAAGAATTTTCAAACAGTATTATATGAAAGTGTAATAAAATTTGTCCCTATCACGATTTTAGAAACAGTCATGTGAATTTCTTGACAGTTATTTAAGGACTTGGGGTTTTTTACATTTCCTTCTTTTTTTTTGCAAGAAATTCTAAGCTGATCATCCAGGACTTAATTCAATCCTTGTTACTTTAATTATAGTCTGAATATATATATTAATAGATCTCGAATCTTTTTATTAATTTATGTAAATTATTAGAATTGGAAAATCCATTTCTGTTGGACAATTCAGTTGAATTGTCATTCATTTCAGTTGAAAATAAAAAACAGGGCCAATAAAAGAGATTGTTAACTACAGATACTCATATTTTCTATAAATATCCAGTTTTAAAATAACTAGTATAGGATTTAGTTTGTTTGGTAAAATTTAACACGTTGGGAGTCAGCTTGCCTTTTCTAAATATTGAAAACTTTGTTATTAATTTACAGCAAGTATAGTCACATGACGTTACACTTGATACGCTTTTATTTGAATTCGAACTGTTAACACCTTGCTCATATTTCTTTAATCTGTCTAGTCGCAGCGTACAGTGCGAAATTTTATTCTGGGCTTTGTCCTTGATCTACCATGTTTTCATCACCTAAAATCCGCTTTTAAACTCTCTCTGAATTCATTTGAACTGAACTAACCTCTTTAAATTCATGGGAATTCTGCACTTGCTACGCCAACAGTTTTTAAAGACTACCCTCTCTAGTTTATATTTATCATCATTTCCATTTGGTAGTAAATAAAATTCACGCGTTGCATTGGAAGGAATAATTTAAACACGCCGTTTAAAAAAGACACGGACTTCCGGAAGCAAATTAAACAGTGTCTAAAAAGTAATACATAATTTAAATAGATCCTTTGTTTTAATCCAGGCACGCCTGCAGGATTTGATTAAAACTTGACATAGGTCGTCTGCGGAAGGCAGTTGCCAAGACAGGGCTATTTTGGTTAAAGAATCACGGTAATGAAGAATAAAGCCAGTCGAGCAAGAAATTTTCCCTCTAAAGGCAATTTGGTGTGTAAATAGATAGACAAATGGACTTGAAAGACGTTTTCAAAATATCACTGAATAAATTCACCGTTAATTTTTTCCTAAGTTTCCACAAAAATATGGAAGTAGGTGAATATTTCTCTTATATTTATGTTTTACAACATGTGAACCTCTCTCTCTATGTTTACTTCTCTTACTCTTTTGGGTGTATTCAAAAGTTCAGTAAATTTGCTATCAGTACATTAGTTACCAATTTGATAGATACAAATAGATACAAAATTAATCAAATGGATTAGAATATAAAGATATTCTTAAAACTTACTTAATTTAGTTACTTGCTTGTCTTTTTGATAAAAGTTTCAAATACTAACTATGCTTTATACAGGGTAGACTGCAATTATATCTTACAAATTGTACTATGGTACTAAACATGGTAAATTATCAATATTTTCTTACTACAATTTTGGTTAGTTGGGCCAATTTGGGGAGTACACTCCTGCAAAGATTTAAAGTATTTTTTAAAATTTCCTAATAATCCCGAAGCGATTTGAAATAGAAACTTGGATCATCGTTACTGATGTTGTTTTTATAAATGAAAAATTATAAATCGAGACTTTTTTAATCGCCCTGTGTAACTTTTCGAAACAACAATAGGTACTTTATCTACAAACAAAACTTTTAAATTTTTAGGAGGAGGTACAGTTTTCGAGATAATTACAGTTTTCAATATATTTGCAGTAAAAAGCAAGACATTAGTGCACAAATTATTTACTGTCCGATTTAAAAAAAGACCGACCTGTGGAATGCTACTTTATATAAATGAAGCGAAAATATTTCATTCGTATGAACATCATTCAAACGGTACTGAAAAAAATATGTTCATATTTGAGTTGATATACAAGAAATATTATTGAACTTCATTCAAATAAAGTCGGAAGCATCCCAATGGCCGATCCTTTTTTAAAAATCGAACCGGGATAAGATAAGTTGCTGTTCAAAACCTAGGTAGAAAAGGTTTTGCAAAGGTTTCAAAAAACCTCTATTTATATTTTATTTTACCTCCATAAATAGGACCAAGTTACCAAAATTTTACTAAGAAAATGTTCATAGTTTCCTTGCTTATTACATAATGTACATACGATTACGGACCACCCTGTATATTTAACTTTTGCATACATCGAGTATAAACCAAAAACATTTGGAAAATATGTTTACTCCTTGCCTAACGTGTGTCTGTTTTCAATTATATTGCGAACTTGTGTAACTGGAATTAGATTTTCAGAATAGGAGAAGCCCTAAACATAACTATTTAGGTATTTCAGGAATTTCACCTGAAATATGTGTATATTGCTCTCAAAGTTCGTCTGTAGGGAGTTCATTACTCAAGAAAGTGAATCAGCTGAATATTCATTTCTTGTCGTAGGAGGTTTCTGAATTACAAATTCTTGGAATTGAAATTTGAAACGATTTCGTCAATTCATACATTAAGTAACTTTACTCAGTAATCAGAAAGGGCCAAAGATAAAATTAAGTTTAATTATTAAAAATATTACTTACTACAAATTTCTTGCTTCTTAAGTAATAAATTCATAGAAATGTAAATAACATAATCAAAATAATGTAACCATAAATAAGTTATAATACTTGGCACACTTTAGCCCCTCATGATTTTCAATATTTATTTTCAGCATGATCTCCTAATCTGTGTACGGGTAAAAAAGAGTGGTAGTTTGCCAACCGCAGAATAAATTTGCCTATGAATAAATGTAAGTAATCTCCATATTTCCAAAGCTGTAGCATAATATTCCATTTGCTGCCAAGGATGAACACAGAATAAATGCAGTAATTTTCACGTAGAGGATTATGAAGTTATACATATTTTTGCAAGGTAAGAGAGAACTACTTCTTCAAAATGAAGGAGAATTATCCCACAGAAAAAATTTTTTGGAGGTCACGTATTTTTGTATTATCCTTTTTGTTTATCGAAATCATATGTGGTCTGATAAGCAAAATGTCTAATTGCAACTGAAATATTCTAAAATTATTTCTAAACACATTCTTGATGATCAGAATAAGTTAATAATAAATTAGACTCAGGTATGACTTAACGATTTTACGTTTTAAAGAAAAAACCACGATATTTTTTAGTAGTTACGTGTGCAGATAAAATTTTGAAACAGTGTTTTCTTACATATTTTCAAAAAAGTTAGCTACCCAATAATCGCTGCAGTATTGGTACTTCAATGACCAACACTAAGGTTATATGATATTGTTATTTTCAAAATACTCTATAATGATCAGTCCAATGTTCACTGACATATAAACAGATAAAACTATCTATCTAAATCTAGTTAAAGGGTGAACTTAGACGCTTGTATTGTTTTTTCTTATTTTTTGTATTTAATTTAAATGTACCACATTAGTTATTGAAGTTTAAGAAGAAATTCTGCAATATAACTCTTTAACACCACTGTCAAGCTCGAGGTCAAACCTCTACGGGGTGTTTCATGGTCAAAATTGACATTTATTTCGTTGGTAGTCTAAATTCAAATTTTCAGGACTACACCCTTGTAACGACATTTTCAACTTCAAGAATTTGTTGTTAAATATATATATTGCTGCTGATTAAAAGAGTACTATAGTCAAACGTCAAAAATTTAACTAAGTATATCTACGAGTTGATTAATTACTGGATTTTTCATTCATGTTGGATATTGTCTGATTTAAGCCTGCAAAAACTGGTGAATGAAAATTATTATGCCCGGAGTGTGATTTTTTTTTTTTGACACTCTATATCTCGAAAATGGTGCGTTTGCAAATTCATATTAATAAGATTTTTTTTTTCTTAGAATGAGGGAAAGAATCACACCTTTCATTTCCGACATATGTTTTGAAACACCCTGTATATCTTAAATGTTAAAACATTACTTACTGGCAGAGAGTGACCTACAATCTATAGGCGCTATGACTTATTTCGCACCAGGTGAAATAAACTTTGTAACCGGGTGCATCATTAACATTGAGAAAATTTTGAAGGAGCGATTCCCTGCAAAAGAGTAAGGGGGCCTTCTATTATAATCTTATTTCGAAAAACGCTTTCTGTCGGAGTTACAACCCTAAAAATGGATAAGTTAAAATTCAGATTTTATTTTAGTTCTCATAGTTGGAGAAACACAAAAGATTGCAATTTGTGATGCTACTTTAATTGATATTTTTAATCATCTGCGACACCCTGTATATTTAACTCGCAGAGCAGTTGCTTCCCACAATGTCTTTAATTACAAATGAGGCATTTAATAAAAAGAAATACTCTCAAGTTCATGATTGCGGCTCACGCTACAGGATCCCAGTGATGTGGAGTCCAGAAAATCTAGATTTACACTTTCAAAGACCTCTCCCCATGAATCATTGGAAAAAGAAAATCTATGGTATCGCCAATTTGCAATTTCAGATGTATATAGCGACTGAGCTATCTTCGCCCACGTCTTGTATATAATCTCTTAAATATAAATTTGTCTTTTTCTGGAAATATGTCAACTAGCAACACTAAGTTGAAAATTCTACCAATACTGCTTCATTGATAACTTCAGCAGAGTTTAACATCTGGAGCATGAATTGCCATTTTTTGCCATTAATATTGTTTAAGCCCAAACTCAGAGGTATAAAAAATTAGTTAAAGAAATTGAAAAGCAGCTAAAGAGGTTCAGAGGACTATACTAGCGTCCTTGTATACAGTGTCCCTCTAAAGTCGTGCACAAATTCATTATTAGGTAAACAAAAGAAATTATTAAAAATTCCCGAAGCAGGTTGATTTTTGAATTTAATTTACTATTTTTTCAAATAATAATTTAATATACAGGGTGACCTATGCTCGAGTAATGTCATCACATTTTTTTTTTAATGGAACACCCCACTATTTTTCCAATTTTCGGATTGCCCTAAAAAATATACCACAAGTTGCTTCAAATTGTTACAGGGAGGACAACAATACCCAAATTATTTACAAATAAATAAACGTACTAAAAATTGAATCAAATCACCACATATCATTTTAAAATGTCATTATTTTTTGCTATAATTTCTTTGATGCTTTTTTAATTTTATCTGCCTGATAGAACGTGCTCGTGTATTTCTTGCAGGCAATCATTTTTAAATAGTTTGTTAAGATTGTACAAGTAAATTCATTTTGAATGATTCTTCCTTAAAATATTGAGTATTTTTTAATTAATTAAAAAACATGATTCTCAATAAACATAATTGTCGGTACTGGTCAGATCGCAATCCACATTGGATGATGGAAGCACACACTCAGCATCCCCAAAAGGTCAATGTTTGGGCCGGAATTGTTGGTAATCGAATTTTGGGGCCGTATTTCTTTGAAGGAAATTTAGATGGTGCAAGATATTTGGAATTTCTTCAGTTCCATTTAGTTCCTTCCTTGAGTGTTCTATTTCCAAATGAAGAAGATCCAGATTTGCCCAATGAAACCATTTGGTTTCAGCAAGATGGTGCACCACCGCACTATGCCAGCGCTGTTCGCCGCTATTTAGATGACGTGTTTCCTCATCGGTGGATTGGCAGAAGAGGACCTAAGGAATGGCCCGCCAGATCACCAGATTTAACACCGCTCGACTTTTTTCTTTGGGGTTATGTAAAAAGCAAAATATACGTCAATAAACCAAACAGTATTAACGATCTGAAGGAACGAATTCGGCAAGAAGTTCGAGCGATCCCGCCTGAAGTCATTGGGAATGTACAGCAAGAATTTACTTCCCGTCTGGCCCATTGTTTGGCAGTAAATGGTCAACAATTTGAACATTCAATTTAGGTGTTTCTGGTGATTTGATTCTATTTTTAGTACGTTTATTTATTTGTAAATGAATTTAGTATTTGTAAATAATTTGGGTATTGTTGTCCTCCCTGTAACAATTAGAAGCAACTTGTGGTATATTTTTGGCATCAGCTCAGTTAGGGCAATCCGAAAATTGGAAAAAAGTGGGGTGTTCCATTAAAAAAAATTGTGATGACGTCATTACTCGAACATAGGTCACCCTGTATATTAAATTATTATATGAAAAAATTATTGTAAATTAAATTCAAAAATCGGCCTGTTACGGGAATTTTTAATAATTTCTTTTGTTTACCTAATAATGAATTTGTGCACGACTTTAGGGGGACACTGTATAAAGATAGATCCAACTAACCTGGCAAGAACCTCGGCGCGTCTACCTTCACGTTCAGCAGCTGATCCAGCGGCTTGAGCCTCAGACATGGCGCCAGATCGTCTTCGTGGAGATCCCCGTGACAGCCCGTGTGCCCCGCGACGATCCTCTTAATCCAGAGGGGATCCCGCTGCAGCGCCCAGGGGCTCAGGCCCGAACCACTTAACAGAATGACGCGGTGTAGCAGTTCTGAAACAAATGGCCGCCATTCGTTTAAATTATTTTAAAGGGAGGTGTGGGTTCTCGGAGCTCCCGTCTTGTGACAGGCGTAGGTTGAGGAAACTGTTAATAAACACATTAATTATTTACGTTTTGCGGCTGTATCACTTTAAAAAAAAACTGTACTGGAGAGTTTATGATCGGTTTGTGACTGCTTCTCTCATTATGACAGATGTTGATAGTTCCCTAGTGTATGATGTAAATTTATTTGAAAATAAATGCTAAAGAAGGTCATGAAATAGGAGGGGTAATAGAAAGTTTTGCCTCTAACAATGGAACAAGACACATTAACATCAACCCACTTGCACTACCTACATTGTCTTTATTTCACCAGACAAAATGATTTATCTTCAAAATATGTACCAATATCCTCTTCCAATTCATTCTATAATCGGGTATCCTTGGTATACAGGAACTTTAACCATCGATAAATTAAATAATTAATAATAATTTCACTTTAAAGTATACACTTTTTCTTCCAAAGGCTTCCTTTTAGAGATATAAGATATAAATATTTTTTTTTTGGTTTTAAATTTTATTATTTTTTCACACACTATGAAAGCCATTTGTTTCATATTTAGTCTGAAGTGTACGAATAAAAAGCTCTATCGATTTTACAAATTACTGTGAAAATAGATCAATCATAGGCGTCCGTAAGGGGCTTTGATAACCCCCATTTTTAATAATAATTTCTAGGCCACCGGAAATTTTTCAAAATGAATATATTTTTTCACATTCCAGTTTATTCTGCAGCAAAAGGGACTTCTTAAGGATTCATTACATGTGAAATGGTTCAGTTTTTCAAAGTAATACAGAATAAAATATTTAATATCGAGAAACAAACAGAAATAACAATTTACAATAGAGAACAAAAGAAAAAGTATCACAACAAATTTTCGAAATGTTGACCTCAAACCTTAATGCATTTCTCACATCGCCTAATTAAGCTTAATCATATCGGGGTTGTATTTAAAAGTTTTACAATTATTTTCAATTCTTCTTCTTAATATTTCAAGAGTACCTACATATTGGTGAAATATACACCCTTTCTTTAATAAATCCCTAAACGAAATAATCCATGAGATTTAGATCTGGCGGTCGTGGCGGCCAAGCAATGGGACCGGTAACAGGTTTTCTATGATTAATTTTCAAAATACGCCCGATCCAACGACGTGGATAGTGCTCCCTGAGCCACTGATTAATTTGAAGGCTATAATGAGCCGGAGCGCCATCCATCTGAATCCTTGAAAGTAATGGTAAATCGTCGAATAAAGTATTTAAATCTTCTTTCTTTGAAGAACATCACCATTTGCAATTAATCCATAAGAAGCCATTTTTCTCAAAAAACCAAGCATTTCATTAAAAAATAGTAAGAGACTTTTTTGCTGTAGAATAAACCGCAATGTGAAAAAAAAATACATATATTTTGAAAAATTTCCAGTGGCGTAGGAATTATATTAAAAATGGTGGCTATCAGAACCCCTTACGGACGCCTATGATTGATCTATTTTCACCATAATTTGTAAAATCGATAGAGCTTTATATTCGTACACTTCATACTAAATATAAAATAAATGACTTTCATGGTTTACGAAAAAATAAAGAAAAACCTAAAAAAATGTTTTTCAAGAGCATATATCTCTAAAAGGAAGCCTTTGAAAGAAAAAATGTACACTTCAAAATGCTTTTATTTTGAGGAGATCTATCGATGGTTAAAGTCCTAATCATAAAAAGTGAATCATCATGTATAGGTACCTAATATTAGGAAAGCCAATTTTCCCCTTTTATACTATTTAATTTCTGTAAATAGGTATGGCTAATACAGTTGCGCCAATAAGGGTTGTGATACGTTTTATGAAATACTAAATGCAACTATTGAAAAATATGTTCTACGAAATATAATATCATCCCGTAGATACAAGTGACAATTTAAATGCTGTTAAATATTGCTCGTATTTTAAACTGGTTCTATGAAGGATATTTACAGATTAACAGTTTTAACGGAGTATATTTGACACCAAATGTATTTCTAAAGTGTAATGACCTATTAAAAAGCCTTATGAACGAATCATAAAGATCTTTGACCTTTCTCTTGCTGTAGGAGTTTTATTACTAACATTAAATGGACTTAACCAAACAGTTTGGTTTTAATAAAGCCTTCGAATGAAAATTTAATAGATTCTAACAACTGTGAAACTGTAAATTATTCAAATGCTTCATAAATTTTCTTGCTAGATCTCATGTATCCTTTTTTAAAACGTTTTCACCTTAAGAAAATTTCATTTTGTCAAAATGCGCAATAAAGCTGTGACACTTTCATTAAGTACACCATAAACGATATTAGTTTCCAACCATGAAAACCTTAGTAAAACTAATCGTCTAAAAGCAAATTCTTTTATTATAGGTTTTGTCAAGCTCTGTAGGCTTGCACAGTGATAACAGTACGTTTTTCATAGTAAGTAAGAATTTATTGATCATTTCTATGTACATAGTCAGCATTAATTTCTAAAAAGTCTCCAACACTATAATAATAATAATATCTCTACTCCTCATTCTAACCACGAGAATTAGCCCAGAAGTCGAAGACTAGTGCGGGAGAGGAAGCGGCATATTATTATTAAGCAGGCCGCATTACACCATTCAGTGCAGGAATGAGGGAAACCTGGAAAACCTCATTAATTAGGGGGGTGGTCAAATGCCAACCGGTGTCAACCTCTCACATTGACCCAAGCCAACATTCTTCCACCCTACCATACCTGCACAGAGAGTGCCAATCCTCGGTATAAGCATAGCTAATCTACGGTCTACCGGCCGCGGGAATCGAACCCGGGCAGAATTAGTACACATTGGCTACCGACCGACAATAAAAACAGTTATACAATAAAAAGTTTTTACACAATTTATGGAACTCGTTAAAACTTAATTTATCCACATCCACGTTATTACCCCTAAAATAACGCGAATGGCGTTATATAATGAAATATTCAATTTATTATTTTGAGTGATACAAATTCTGGAAAAGTCCGTAACGAAATCATCAGCATTCCTGGTATTATACGAGTGAATACCAGAATGTTTAGGAAACATGCTTCTATTACGGTGTATTTGCAATAGAGTTTCAAAAATATGTATACAAGCGGCATGATATTGCCTAAATAAGGTTGACAAGGGGTACATCCGCAAGAATGCGTACCGCTGATTTTTGCAAAACAGTCAATCCTATTGATTGAATTATCCCATAAGTTAAGTGTCTATATGAACTATAGTAAAATACCCTGTTCTTAAAGTATCCCCTGAGAGAGAATGTTGAAGCAACCTCATTAGAATATTTGCGACAACCTTGAGGAAAGTCCGTCTACTTGTGATGACAAACCTAAATTAATCAAAATAAATTGCAAGTAATTTGGCACTAGCTTTTTGAGCCCGTCTATCAAAAGTAAATAACAAATTCTGTGTTTTGGTATAGTTTAATTTTAATAGATTTGATGAGAACTAATTGCTCAATTTGGGACATGGGTTGACCAGTGTCGTATCATTACAAACAAAATACATGAATTTTCACGAATGGAAAAAGGCAAATCGTTAATATAAACGAAAAACAAAATTGAGCCTAAAACAGAGCCCTGAGGGACTCCGGTATTTATGGGGTGTCGACCTGACTCATGATTCATGCTAACATAGGAACCGTAATATTCTAATTTGTTAAGCAAGATATTAACATTAACACAATCGATGGCTTTAGTTAGGTCACACATTGTAGTCATCGTACTAATTCCGTTATTGAATCCATCTACTATCTTATCCACTACTTTCAGTGACGTCTAACGTAGATTTATCTTTACAAAAATCAAACTGAGAATGTTAGAAAACTATTAATTTTTTCGCAGTAGTTAACAATACTACACTTGATAATTATTTCAAAGTCTTTACTGATTGTAGGTACTATGGATATGGGCCTGAAATTGTCAAGGGCACCGTGATAACCTTTTTTATGTAAAGGAAGAACTTTAGTTATCTTCAATGAGTCAGGACACTTACCCTCATCAATACATGTATTAAATAATAATGCAAATGGTTTAACCAATGATGATTTTAGTGCTTAACTATTTAAATAGCAATAATAAACAACTGGATTCCAAAAATTATTTGCATAAAAAATGACGATGCAGGTTTAGGTGCATTGTTTAAAAAGGAAAAGCTATCTCCATTAGCTTTATTAACTGACTAAAGGACTATATCACAAATGGAGACGAAATAAGCATTTAGTTTTGAAAACCACCTGAAGGTATGTTCTTTGGATTTGTTTAGTTTTATATGTTTATGCTCCTATCAGCACAGATGTGAGATTACAGATTTATTAATAATTTTATTTTGAAAAAAACACAAAACTAACTACTAATTCCAATTGATATAACCGTGACTTTAAAATACTTCATACACTAATTAGAATACATATTCAGATCACAGTAGTGTGTATCCTTTGGATAGAGAATAGCATTAAAATGATCCTGCTGCGTTTTGGTATTATGCCAGTAATAAAAAAGGCATTCTAGAATCCCCAGGATAATAAACGACAACAGTATGGCATACACGAACCAACAATCAATTCTAGCTATGTGAATCACTCCGTAGAAAAAGTGTATGTCATTGAAAATGCTTTTATTAATTCAATAACTGAGGCAGATGTGATTATCGAAAAAAAATAAAAGGGAAAGTAACTTCGGGGGCTGATGGAATTCCAAGTTTCTTTGTTAAAGATTGTTGTAGTCTGCTAATGCAGCCGTAACTTTTTTCGTATAATTTAATACTGAAGTCCTTCATAATATTTCGAAAGTATAAAATCCTATGTTTTGTAAATATTGTTACTTTTCCAAATTTCATTATTGTTGAAATAATAATCCCTTTTAAATTTAAGACAAGTACCTATCACTCTGCAGTGTGTTTTATTTATAAACAGCCGAAAAAAGTTC